CCCCGTGCTAAGTTCTGCTTCTGTAAAACTCTGCTTGCTTCTCCGCCCTGCCAATAGAGCGAGAGTAAAATGAAAACAAGCGTAGAATCAGGCTGAGACTCTGGAAGGTGACTTCCGCTGGGCGCCTAGCGTTTAAAGCTGCCTTTCCCTTCGATTCTCCCAGGGCGCTCTCTTCCTTGGTCTGCCTGCCTCCGAGGGCTGTAACAAGACAACCTGCAATGTCCTTTCCTCATCCTTTTTTCTCCATGCTGGGGATTTGAACTTGGGTTTTGTACATGCTGGGCAAGTGCTCCACCACCAAGGTGGGGCTGCGGCCCTGCCATTCATCTTCTGACCACACTCTGTGCTTTTGTTTGTGGCAGTAAAGAGTACCAGCCTTTCCCAGTGTTTGTTCCCAGATTTTGAAAGGCTTTCAGCCCTCTTGGTTATAAAGCCTTTCATCTGGGCAGTACTTTGATTTTGTCTTTTCTGCTCGGGTCTGTCTTGGGTGTGTGGGGAGTTACTTCAGGGTGAGGTACACGTACTTCATCTTTCCAGATGGCTTTCCATTTGTCCTAACACCATTTGTCACACTGTCCGTCATTTCCTCAGGCTCAACTTGACTTATTTTTAGACACTAACTTAAAATAATGAAGCACACGGAGGTGAGGGAACAGACACCTGAGGAGAGAAATGATCTCCTGGAATAGATGGCTCCTTTCCGGGGGTGTAGCTCCACCTCCCCTTCTTCTCCCTCCCCACAGCACCCCGGCCTCTGGGGCCGCACGCTGCCCAGCCACTCTTGTTCTGGGAGCCTGGCTTCAGTGCCCTGTGCCACCCAGCAGCATAAGCCCTGGCTTCGGGCCGGGCTCACCTGAGGGGCACTGCCAGTGCAGAGGATGAGAACAGACTCCGGGCATCACTTTGGCAGGGCCATGATGCGCCCCAGAGCTACCTCTTCAGCGAATTAGCCTCTCCCTACTGGGGCTCATCAGACCTGCAATCACCTGACCAAGAGTACAGCAGCAGGATAGCAAAACACAAGACAAGATTGTTACTGCAGAAGGGGACCCAGGATGGTCAGAGCTCTTAGAGGGGGCACTGACTCTGGAGCCTGCCACTATCTACTGAACACACAGTTCTTGCAGGGAAGGGGTGGTGCAGGGAACAGCAAAGTGGAGAGTGCTGACCGTGCAGGGGCCTAGCAACAAGGGAACGAGACATTCTAGCAGGAACAGCTCATCCATTAATGGGAAAGTTGTTTTTTCCCACAGATTAATTTTTGCTTCTATAGAAGTTTTGCATACGAGTCTCGCTTCCCTTAGCTGCACTGTTGTCTTGCCCTCCAGGATGTCCCAGGGTCGCGGCTCACTGAGCCACTGGTCACAGTGTGGGGAGCTCTTCCATCCCACACAACTGCTGGCTCTTCAGGCAACCGCTGTGGGCCAGTAGGCAGAGTCAGATTTTTAACATGAAGCCAGGCTGTGAACCTGCAGCTCACTCAGGGCATCTCTGTCAACTCCAAGCTGCAGCTCTTATGGGTTCTGATGGGCCCTGCCCCGCCTTCGCTTTTGCAGGCCTCTGGAGAATACTTCCTCGGTGCTGGCCCCCAGGGCCCATGCCTCTGTGAGGAGGCCCTCCCAAGCCTTTGGAACACACCCTCTTGTCCTTTGATCATGCAGACTGCCAAGGCCTCGCTGACACCAACAGTGTCGCAGACACATACCAACCCATCTGTCAAAAATCCTAGCACTCTGGGAGGCTGAGGCAGGACTTAGGAAAAATAAAATTAAAAAGAGCTCAGGATGTAGCACAATGTGAAACCCTGGGTTCAGTCCCTGGGACCACACACACGCACACACATGTAGGTGAGCAGGTAAAGTGGCTGTTGTGCGTGGGTGTCTCCCCATTTGCTAAGAGCAGAGAATCTTACCACCATCACCAAGAAAAGTAGCCGAGGAGGCCGTATCTTACCTAGGAACCCAGAGAGGCATCTTGATTAGTCATTATTCATCTCCATTAGCCTTATTCCCTGTGCAAGAGCCTGGTCCATTTGTGTGGGTTCCATTGCATCTGCAACACCCCCCACACACCCAGAGAAACCCTTTCCCATTACTCACAGTCAAGGCCATCACGCTACCTCCCGAGTGTGCTGATCTACTGTTATTTCCCTGCCTAGCTTTCAAGTAACTGTGGCAAAATTAACTAAGGGCCTCTGCCTGTTATGGTCGCTCCACTGACCAGTGAGAAACTCGGAAGCTCTGAAACTGTGAGAAACAAGGGGTTTGTTCTTCTGCTGCTGAATGGGATTCACAGATATAACCAGCTCTGCTTTAGTGAACACTGACCTTTGGGGTCAATTTTAGCTCCTCCACTGTGACATAATGTGACAAGAAAAGGACCCAGGAGTTCCATTTGCCCTGCTTGTAGAGGCAAGGGCCAGGGGTGGTGGTGGTGGTGCGGTCTTCCAGGCTCCTATTTTGAGCCAGGAAGGCAGGGAGAGCAGACAGCACAGTCCTGCCTGGCCCTGTGTATTCCTCCCGGACCAATGGTGGCGAACATTTTAGAGCTTTCAATGATACCCACGTGCCATAGGATCCCACCTCTGTTCTAGACACTCATTTCACAGCAGGTGTGGCTCAGATTCCAAATTTGTCTTTGAATTAAAAGGATTAGGATAACAATGGTATAATGGAAGGGGCCTTAAACCTCAACATCCATGCTATTTTTTTTCTTAAAGAATGTCGTTTAGAGCCTCCTCTTTCTTTACATGTACCACAGGAGTGTCTACCTCCTCCTGTTCAGTTCTGAAGGAGAAATCTGTGCTGGACACACACACACACAGACACACACACACACACACACACACACATGCCTTCCTTCCTAGTATTACAGAATCATCCACTCCCCCGGGGTACAAGGTATGGAAGGCGGAGGCTGATCACGCAAAGTGAGAAGCAGGGAGAACAGCCTCTTTCCCTCAGCAGTCAGTTCTCTCATAAACATTCCCATTACAAAGGG